TCCAGGATATGCAATATAAATAAAATCCAACTAGTGGTCTATTATCAGTGCTGTGTTCTGATTGGTTGAGCTACTACTAGGCTTTATGTTACAGCCCACTTGTAGTGAAAAGCACTGGCTTTGAAAACCAAAACAGTGACAGCTGAATCGCATTTTGCTAGCAAAGTTGTTTTATCTTGATATTTTTGACCAAGTAGTTGGATTTTTTGGAAAACAGTTATTCCTCTCCCTCATGGCCAACTCGGAGAAATTAGGACGACCGTTCAACTGTTTTTCCGTGCATCCACACGTGGAGTTCGTCGTTATGGAGGCAATCCTCGAACAACCGGACACAACTTTCGCAGAGATTGCCTACAACGTCTTTGACCAGACAGGGTCGGAAAGCCAGGATACTTTTCAGATTCAATGTCTGAATGAAATATTCGTGTTCTTGGACGAAAGTGGATTTCTAAGTTTTTACTGAACTTCCATTACCATAATGTTCGCACTCTTTTTGCTTCGACTGTTTTGGTTCAAATTGACTTATTACTTTTGCAGGACAAAAGACTTTCTTGTTCTCTTGTCGGTACAAGAGCCACAGTCAAACATCAGGCGCAGAGCTGGGGTCCGCGAATAACCGCAATTCCTATTATTTGCATGGAAGGGATGGTAGAAGTAGGGATCTATCAGGGCAACGTCGATGGTGCAAGATTTGAAGAGTTTGTGGATCAAAAGCTCTGCCTGAACTTGCTTTCCTATAATGGTGTTAATCCGCGATCAGTGGTTATAATGGGTAAGGTAAAATTTTCTGCAACACCAACTTAAAAATTTCTCAGTTATGATGTGGATTATTTTTCTCTGCCTTGTCAGATACTAAATTGTCTTTCACTTCAAACTTAACCCCACTTTTCATTTAGTTCATTTAGTTATACCCTTTTTTTTCAGTTTACTTAGACAACGCAGCTGTCCACCACATGCAAGCAGTAGTAGACCGTATTCATGCCACAGGAGTGATGGTTGTATTCCTTCCACCATACAGCCCAGATTTTATGCCGTCTGAGCCATCTGAACCAAAAACTGGATAAGGGAAAAAGATGCGGCCTGGCAATTTTGCATGGATCCCCAGTTTATGGTCGAAGAAGCTTTTTTTCAAGTTACTGATGAACAAATTAGAAACTAGTCGAATGCTTGTTATAAATAAATAAAGACAGTTTATTCAGTATTCATAAGCATCAGTGGATAAATACGTAATTAATACCAAAATTTACAAAGAATTCAATTCTTTCAATTCGTTTTCTGTGAGGAAGGCATCTTCTTTTAATGCTCTAAGGTCCTTGAGCTGCTGAAGGAATCTATTACGTATCTGCACCTACAAATAGCAAATAATTTGGTTATTAATAAGGAAATAACGTACAAAATAGGCCGCATACATTGGCTGAGAAATGCCTCTCTTGCCTTTTGTGCAGCGTTGTCCATCGATTGTGTACTGAATTCACCTGACGTCAAAGCTTTGGAACGTTTCGAAGCTTTCAAAATAGCAGTAAAAAATGGCACACTGGGAGGGGTATCCTCACTGTTGTGGGTTATGTTAACCTATGGAGGAACAAACGATATTAAATTTTTTCCGATTTTCTGAGAGGGCTTGTCTGTAAAATAAGGGAAAAACATAACAAACCCTTGAACTACAATTACACATAGTGCAGCCTGACTCATTTTAGCAAATTAGTTCAAAATTGTCTTTTTCAGACTCAAGTTCATGCAACACGTGCTTTTTGTGCTGATTTACCCAAGTATTTGTCAGAAAAACATTTCACTGGAAAGGCAGTATTAAAGGTAATGAAAAGTAAACGATGCTTTAAAGGAAAAATAGCTTGATGGTAGACATGAAATCAAACTGCCAAAAGGTTAAAATTGCTCCCATTAATTCACTAACAAATTTTCCTTACCACCTCCGCGCCCACAGCACAATTTAAAATCGGGAAAGTCATGCTTCTCTCTAAGCCATGAAAGGCAAGACTTGTAACTTCCTTCTTCTTGTCCGTGCCCACTATCATCTTGAGCACTGGAATTACCTATTTTTGAATAATAATAATCAAAATCATTGCGATTGAACATATGACGCAAATCTCACTAACAAAATGTGCAAATAGCGCAGATTATTATTTTCCTTACCTTTTCTCTTTCTACCCTAGGAACCTCTGGGAACGTCTTTGTGTGGATCCACCCGCAATGTTATCTTCCCGTTTTTAACTAAAGAAAATGCTTCAGCATGTTGGTTTTTCGATGATATAGAGAATTTCTTGTTTCCTTCGGCGTAGTAACTGATTTGAAATGCCGTGTCGGTTTCTGGAGAAATTTCTGCTTGACAATTTTCCAGAAAGTATTGCTTCAATTGAAAAACAGTTTAAAACAAGGTACGTTTAGCTGTCGAACCTGCTTTTGTTGCTATACCTGCTATAGCTGTCGATGCTGCTTTTGCTGGTTTCTCTTAGCTAGGACCCACAAACACACGTCCATGGCGTCACGAGCCATTTTCTCACAATTTCCTGAAATACTGAAGGCAGAACTGGGAATTTAAAAAACCCACAGTACCTCTCGGGATTGTCGCGTGCACTTTTGCACTTTTTTCCAACAACCTTTCTCAAAATAGCTGTATCAAAAGTGGACAATGTCAGGCAGTGCAGAAGGATTGTAAACAATCTCAGTGTCATTCCGCTCGATTTTGTGGTTTATCCCTTTGGCAATAGTGATAACAACATCTTGCACATCGGTACAAACATTTAAGGAATGTCAAAAAATTAATGCTGGATTTTCTCTTCTTGTCCTGTAAAGATTTACAATTAACTTAAGCCCGGTGCGTCGAATATCCTGAGTTCGACTCCGGGCATAACCTTTTTCTCTTCGCTTCTTTTCGTTTCTTTTCGTTTAGTTTTCATTGTAGGTATAACAGTTTTGTTATGTTATTATATTATCTGTTATGACTGCTGTAACCTTTCCTCTCTGCCCGCCTCATCTAGCTTTTGCTATTTGCAGGTGGAGATGGCAAAATGATGTGCATGAAATAAAGTATAGTGTGAGACTGTTTCTATATACAATTTTTAGATTTACAAATAATCTCCTCGGCTTTACTTGCCGCCTGAAGTCCTTCACGAGGTCCTGCAATTTACGTATTTCTAGTAACTTGGAAGGTCTGCTTTTAGGTATGCTGGATGCTATTCTGACGTTTCAAGATGTTTCAGATTTGGAACCAACACACCGACAACACTAACAACCTATTTACTCGATTTCTTGGGCTTGGAATATTCACAGGCTGCCCACGAACTCACAGAGAAGCCAACTCAATTAGGAAACATCTCATTGGAAAAATTAACCATTGTCCATATGGTAAAAAATATGGTTTTTGTGTGGTTTTTGTTTGGTTTTTCAAAAAATCTCTCGTTGGAAAAAGTGCCTTTTTTCCAAAGTGGGTTATTCTGCATTTCCATGCTAGGATTTGCGATTTTCCAAAGGTGGAAAATATTTCCACACAAAATGTAAGAGAACATGGGAAATGTAATTTTCAACTTTGGGTTTGCTAATATCCATAAAGGGAATTTCTATTTGCCAAAGTTGGAAAAGAGGTATCTCCATATATGGTTAACTACTTATCCAAAAGCAGAATTTCATATTTCCAAAGAAGGAAAAATGCTGTGGAAAATTGATTTCCAAACTTGGATTCGCAGCATCCAAAGGTGGAATGCCTATCTTCTAAATGTGGAATGTGGAAAATTTCTTATATCCATGCTTGGTTGACATTTTGTTCCATAAATGTTTGTAACTTTCCCCAAAGCTAGACTAAGGTGGAAACATGTTCCCCTGCCAGCAATGGCACTAGCTTTCCAGGAATATACAAACTTTGAAACACATAATGGGTTTAACATAGAACTGAAGCCACATCAACATATTCAAGCAGTACAATGAAGTGATACAGAACTCTTTAATCAATATTTACATTCTTTTCCTGAACATAAGCAATGTTTACCGTAAAGCTAGGATACTGCATGTTTCAAGTCATGATTTACAAGTCTTTTCAGCATGCATCTGCTCTTCACGATCTGTTAAGGTTTTTTAAACACATCACATCACAACACCTAAACTTATGAAAAGGAATTGCATGAGCCCTTTGTCCCTCAAAAAATCTAGTAATAAGGCCTTGACATACAGAATACAATTACCGGTAAACTAAAATGAATTTAAATTACACTTCAAAACAAGAAGCAACTTTTTTATACAATAGGTGAATTTGATTTCCTTTAGTCCTTTGAAAATGCTGCTATAAATATCACTCCTGTTTATGATGTAAAGTGAGCATCAAATAGATGAGTAGTTTAGAGCTGTTTCAGTCTTTCACAGTTTTTAAAATCTTAATGTCTTTTATGGTGAGATTTCCCAAGTCAGAACCATCTGTGAATGACACATAATTGTTGTTGAGGAGGGCAGCTGCTAATGCCCTAATGTATGTATTCTTATCCTGACCTCTAAGAAGGGATAACCCAAACATTTTCTTTAAAGGCTGTAAATGCTTCGCAACTGGACTGAGTCAAATCTAGAAGAAAAATGTGAATGGTCTACATTAATAAATTAATTAACTAATAGTGATGATAATAAATATTAATAGTATATAACTGTATTTCTCAGAAATACCATATCAACTGTGCATTTTTCTTCTTTTTTTATCCTAAAGTTTAATATAGCGTTTTATCGCACTGTATCAAAAAGTCTAGAAAAATTCTAATAGATAGAAACAAGCACTTCTCCATACCCTAGTTTATTACTGCTTCACACTTATATCTTGGACTCCTCTGTTCATTCATATGGGACAGTGACCAACACGAAAGCTTTGGCTACTTTGGTCACTGTGTGCACATATCAGCAAACCTGTTTATCATATTTACTTTTCACCATTTGTTAACCTACTGTTTTTTCTAAGCCATCTTATGCTGTATCAACTTGAATTGTGAGCAATAAACTTGAACTTGATTGAATCTTGGCTTAAATCTTCTGGGAAGGTACAATGTAGACGGAGAGGTGGACAATGGACGTTGTTCTTGTTAGAAAGAGTTTGTAGCTAAAACTTTAGACTAACCTGGGTGAAAGTAGTCTGCATGCATTTTGATCTTTTTCATAGATGATAGAGGTGATGAGCTTGGGCTGCTGCTTGAGTCTTGAACACTTTCAGTGGGGTGTTACGAAAACTAAGACCCTCGAAAACTAAGACCTAAGACCTAAGACCCGTCTTAGTTTTCGAGATGACGAAAACTAAGACCCCCTAAAATCGAATCCGTCGAAATAGTCAAATTGTAACCGAAATAGGTCTGATCTGTCAAATTATATCATGTTTGATCCTTTCCACCAAGTTTTATGTCAAATTTAACGGTAAATTTTAGGGGTGTTGGTTTTCGTAATTACGAAAACTAAGACCCCTAATTACGAAAACTAAGACCCCACCAAAACAATCTCTAAAATTTCTACAAAGTCGAATTACAACCGTTTGAAGACTATAATCCGTAAGACAAACAGAAACTACTATCATACGCATTCTGATCTACGATCCGCTCACAATTTGCTTAAATTATTACCCTGGGAGTCCTGACCTCTGGCAACCTACTGTCACGCAATCTTCACTTTGTATTGATTGTTTGTTTATTTTATTGTTTTGAAATTAGAACTCCAATTCTTGAGACGATGTTTTGCTAGTACAGGAAATTCATTCACGCATTCGTTTTTTTATTATTATTTCATGAGTGATTTTAGCGATTATCCCTCACAGACTATTTCTCCTTACCCCCCACCCCTACCCCTCAACTACCTTTGCATTGTCAGCAACGATAAAAACAAACGCCAGAAAAACGCAATGTAGCATATTCTCCTTTTTTCGCCCTTTTTATAAAAACACTTTTCTATCTATGACCTGGCCAGAAAAGGAAAAAAAAATCCGTATTTTTGTGTGATGTTTAACCGGTAACACCGTTGACCACTTAGCGATCAGGCATTCAGGTTGCAGCGACATGTCAGCCCGCAGTGAAGACAAAAATCCATCTCCAGTGGAAAACCAATCTTATGACTTTAAGGATAAACAACCAAAATTATAGAGGTAAGGCATATGTTCAGTGTACAATTATACGTAGGTAGTCTAAAGCTTTCATCCTCTTCTTAAATCCACAATATTGGTAATGTATGTCTGCAAGTTGTGAGAAGAAGCGGATCGTCTAGCACGCGTATAATAGTAGTTTTTGTTTATCTTACGGATTATAGTCTTCAAACGGTCGTAATGCGACTTTGTAGAAATGTTAGAGATTGTTTTGGTGGGGGTCTTAGTTTTCGTAATTACGAAAACTAAGAGGGGTCTTAGTTTTCGTAATACGAAAACTAAGACCCCTAAATTTACCATTAAATTTGACATAAAACTCGGTGGAAAGGATCGAACATGATATAATTTGACAGATCAGACCTATTTCGGTTACAATTTGACTTTGTATCTAGACGGATTCGATTTTAGGGGTCTTAGTTTTCGTAATCTCGAAAACTAAGACGGGTCTTAGGCCTTAGGTTTTCGAGGGTCTTAGTTTTCGTAACACCCCTTTCAGTGTCACCATTGCTTGCCTTTGGATCTGAAGTAGCCCCCTTCTGGATTGCAGTATCTTTGAAACTTCGCCTTTTCTCTCTCATATGGCCCACGACCATTTCTCGAATGCCATTTGTACCAAACGCGCACTGTGAGAAAATGTATTTAGATGAATCCTTGCCTTCACTTAACCGTTTCGCAAAATTATTAAGCTTTACAACTTCATCAATTTGGTGAGGACGGAAAGAGGGAATTTCTTCATCAACTGGCCATGTTTTTTTAAATTTCTGCAAATACCATTTTCTTTCTGTCATAAAACACAAACAAACAAAAATAAGACAACAATTGCAGGCCTTGCAGAGATATTTACCCAACGTTTTGAACCTCTTCCTCTCACCCTCTCCCTGTTGAAAATACCTTGTCATTGCTTTGACCCTTTAAAACCTTAATTTCAGCTACATATCTTCCTAATTCTCCACATCATCCTCATAGATCAAGAAGACGTTTTTAACAATTTAATTAGACATGCATCTGTATCTTGAAGTAGTCGATTGCTAACACAGGAAGACAATTTAAGTTTGAACAATATAATTAGTTCCAATTCACAACATTGTTTCTTTAAGTAAAAAATCTTACTTTGCGTTGAAAATCCGCTTCTCTTCACAAGTCAGATGCTTCTTTTCATGATGTGTTAACAGCCTGTCCGCTTTGGATAGCTGAACTTTAGTTGCCGTAGGAGGTAAAGCTGATTTCCTGGATTCTGTGTGCCCTGTTCAAGGTTGAAACGAAAATTTAATCATGGTTTGTGAAAGACTATAAAAGCACGTACGTATTAAATCTAGGACGCACGTGCATGCTAACTAAAACTGATGTCCTCTTATTTTCAATATTTGGTTTCATTAGAAGATTAGCAGACTTGATTTGATTGGCACTAATTTAGGCAAAATACAGTAAGAACCGTAGAAATGAGCCTGAAAGTAAATCTAACCTTTTAACTGCTCAACAAGACTCCTAAAGTTCTCCTGGTTCCTCAACATTAGCAGTCCAAGACGCTCCATACTCTCAACACCGGTGATTCGTTCACTGAACAATGTTACCCCTGTCATTTCTTTGGCTAGAAATTTTTCAGCGACGTTTTCATCAAAGACCTCAGCTGCCCAGTTTTTTACTCTTTCTTTTGACCAGTCTGATGTAAGAAATTGAAGATCACATTTTTGCTTGAACAAAGCATGTTTAAACGAGGCACCAAAAATATGGCCAGCAAAAGCTTATCATATATATTGACTGTATTTTCTGTGATATAAACCTCCAGACGTATGGAATTTTTTTCCCTAGTGTTAGAAAGACATAACAAAGGCATTTTCGTCAAAAGAGTTGAATTATGAGGCAACATAGGCTTAAGCCAAGAACTCGTGAGCTTAAGGAGTACAATCGCACTTCAGTGGTATGAACCGATTTAACAAACAGATTGTCATTCTGTGATTGACGTTTATAATAAGAATGAATGGAAGATACTGGATTAAAATAATCATCAAAACAAGAATCTGTGGTACCACTGGTAACCAAAAGAGAGAATTTCAACATGAATTATCACAGAGAATTTAAAGAGTCTGAGAGACTTAAGCTTGGGTTGTGAATGTGATCTAGGGTCCGAAAACGTTGTTTTTCTGACAACTCGTTTATGCAAAGTAGTTGCTGGTTCTAATTAGGTTGGGTATGTAAGACCCCAAATTTCAACACCATAATTTAGAAAGGGGTAAATTAGGGAATAGCAAAGCATAATTAGTATATCAACATTAATATACAGTTGACTCCCGATAACTCGACCCTCAAACCTTAGGCCAACTCGAACCAAAATGGATTTCCCCTGGATTTCCGTCATACATTTACTGTAATTTTACCCTCGATAACTCGAACTTTCCGCTAACTCGAAGTAGTTTTTGTTTCCCCTCAGATCATTTCTATATAATTTTACCCTCGCCATGTTTTATGCCCTTCAAAGTCTGGAAGATACAGTCTGCTGGTGTCCCAAACAGTGAATTTTGAACTTCCCATTGATGTGTTGTAGGCATTTAGTTTACTATTGGAGGCTGATGTTGTTTGTCACAAATCTAACGTGAAACAGCTTTACTTCTCAAAACAGTAAAATGCTTGCTCTAGTTGGGCAACGTTTTGTTACGTTACGTTCTGGTTTATAATCTGGAAGTATCTTTTAATTTTCACTTGACATTTCTACCATTAAATGTGATTAAAATGTTCACTATACAATAAAAACTGCTTTTTCCTTACTCCCGACTATTTTTTTTTGAGCTTCCGATAACTGGAACCTCTTTAAATTTCAGTTGAAGGTTCGAGTTATCGGGAGTCGACTGTAGTACCTTAATTTGTAGAATATACCTACAGTTTCGATAGTTTTAAGCAGAGTTCATTATCATGATTCTTACAAGTCAAGTTTGAGTCAAAAGTGCCACCTACGTATTTGACCTTGGAAACTTCTTGGATTTTTAAATGTAATGAATTGCATGGTTTTAATTTCTTAAAATGAAAAAGAGCAAAATTAGTTTTCAAAATACTGAGAGCTAGCCTATTAGATTTCATCCACTCAGCCACTGCATGGAGCTCTTAATTTAGGATTAGTTCAAGATCAGGTCATTACTTGAACAATGTATATTAGTGTTATCAGCAAATAACTGGAAACTGCGCAATTTCGAGGTGTTAGGTAAATCGTTAATATATAGCAAAAAGAACAGAGGTCTAATAAAGGAGCCCTGAGGTATTCCACAAGTGATTGAGAGAGAATCAGATTTATGACCATTGATACATACAAATTGTTATGTATTGGACAGATACGACTGAAACCAGGCATAGGCTTTACTTCTCCTTCCATAATGATTGAGTTTTGATAAAAGGATGGAATGATCAAATGCCTTCCGATTCAGTAATTTGTATCAGTGCATGATTAGTTGAGCCCTTTTGCTTAAAGCCAAATTGAAGTGGATAAGGAATGTTTTGATACTCAAGATAACCATAAAGGCGCTTAAACATAGCTTTTTCAAAAGTTTTACTAAAATAGGCAGGAGTGATATTGGCTCTTGCTTAGAGCCTTTCTTAAAAACGGCGGTAGCTTGTGTCAATTTAAGTTTGCTGGGAAAAATGCCACAGAGAAGAGAATCATTAATTATGGATGACAGAAATGGGGGAATAGGAGTCTTAAGAATTTTTAGCAATGGGGCTGGGATACAGTACGGACCAATGGATTTGTTATTGTCGACTTGAGATATGTATGAATCAACCCCAACTGAAGTAACACGGGAAAGGAACATCGAATCAGGAAAATTGCCCTTCATAAAAGAGGTTGGACATGGTTTCTCAGGAACATTTGCATGCAAATTAAATACTGGCAATAAGACCCTCAACCTGCTGAACAAATGCTCTTTACTGTTGTTAGGACATTTATGTAATAATATTAGTAATATCACTTATGAAGCACCATATCTATAAAAATAATGTCCTGTAGTGCTAATTCACAGAGATAAATAAGAATAACGTAACCTAGATCATGCTAGAAAAGCAAAAATACAACTCTTTAAAAATGATTAAAAATGTGAACATTATAATTTACAATCCATTAATAAGCGTGTATTGTGGAGTGCCACTATTAAGGTGGCCCTTTCTCCTTCTATCGTCTTTTTTGTAGCTTGAATTTCTTTGTTTGTTGCCATGCCCTTTAATGCGACATCTTAGCATCAATTCTTGTAAAGTGTTTTATCCCTTGTGTTCCAGGGGAAAGGTGAATTTTTTTAATGGCCTGTGTGCAAACTTGGGAGTGGTTTTTTAGTGCATGTGTGTGCGTTTATATTGAAAGATTCTTGTCTTCTGTTGTACACTCTACATGTATGTTTTCTGGATACCATAGACTAAATGAGGACAGGCTCTGGAAAGTTTAGTGCTTTATCTATTGATTTGAAGTAATGATATGTTATTGTAGAATACTCAAGAGTACAGTGAGTAAAAATACAAATTTTAGCTGTGGTGTTCACATAGATGACAACGAAACAGAAAATATTCAAACGTGTACCAGCTTGTGGTGAGAAAGCCTAGGGGATCTTATTTCCATAGATAATGAGTAGTAGTATTGTACTTGTCCACATTACATTCCTCACTCAGAGATGAATGGCCAATATTCTTTTGGCTCACTGCACTTGCTACATGATGGTCATTGCTCTCACTTGATCTATGATGCCTGTTTTGGGGGCTTTGCTGCCAATGGTGTTATTTAATGCTTCATTAGCTTGGCTGAAGCCAAGTGGAGCCAGCTTTTCTGCGTTGCGACAGTAACTTTCTTTATGGTATGTTGGAGGTCCTTTTTCAAGTCTTATCGCTCCAGATCTTTGCCATGAAGTAGTGTGCTGTGCTGGTAGCTGACTGGATCTTTTAGGTACTGACACCAATAGATGGAACAATTGGCATGATCTCCAAGTGCATGTGAAACTATCACTCACGTCCAAAAAGACCTGAGAGTAATCAAGGAAAGGGGCCTCATGTAGATTTTGGATGGGTATGTGCTGCTCAGACCTCAAATTTTGGACCCAGTTTGAACGGATTTTAGATACAAAATGATGCTCTTTGACACAATTGACACATTATAAGTAGACCTCCAGAATTTGATTTTCCTGTTCTTTTTAGTTTAATACATGTATTCCTAACGCAAATAGCCTTTTGGGTAGCATCGTGTGTCTGAAATGAAAGAAGATTATCAGATAAAAAGAAATGATCAGCCAAGATGAAAAAGATACCTGTTTGTTTAAAACCAGTAATTGTTTAAAGTAAATGAAAGGCATGACACAAGCTAGGTCGGACCTTGTTAAAAAGACTGTCCTCCTCTGAATCACTGTGTACATGTATGTCCACCTGAATCTCAACTTTAGTCATTAAAGATTAAATTGAAGAAAAATTAACTCTTATCTTATCATTCTACAAGGTTAGAGAGAGTCGGAGATTTGGCATAAAAATTTGAACAAAATGTACGTTTTCTCCTTATCCTGTGCAACCCATTACAGAAACGCACCCATTCAAAAACGTCGATCGTGAAAATACAAATAAGTGAAAAATGACGTTAATTTAGTGTCAATCAAGAAATCCCCTGGTTATTGTTCCTGCTCAGACATCCGCAACATTTGCCTATTCTTTGATGAAGAATAGAACTTCATGCGACTAACAATAGCTCAGTCTGTTTCAAAACTGTCTAAGGCCTAGGGCAAACGTCGAATCTAAGTCGCGTCAAATACATTTAAAATAGGTGCGACAAAGAGTCGACTTCATTCCAGCATGGTAGCAAACGTCGCACCTGTGTCTATCCTATTTCACCAGTTGCACTTCATTAAAACACGGGAATAAGCACGTGCCCCCGTGCTATTCACCCGATGCGCTGCTAATTACTGCTAGGAGTTGTCAGCGAGATGCCGAAATACAGTGCTCGTGAGGCCTTACTTTGGCAATTAATTGGGAAAAATAGAAAGAGAAGACTCGCATTACATACAGCTCTGAGAACAGTGTATCAGAGACGACAGCTACTACTCCAAGTGGCATGCTTGACCGTGCTTTTGTTAGCAAACAACAATGGAGCAGCGGTCTTGAGTTGGTCTTGCCGCCGCTTCCAACGCAGTGTTGGTTGGTTTACCAACGTATGGTCCACTTACAGCGAGAAACGGTTTAAAGAGACTTTCAGGATATCTAGATCTACATGTGACCTTTCATGCGAAAACGTGCTATAACGACTTTCCGTTAAACGGGTGAAACGAACGGCCATCGAACGGGTTACAAACGGGTCACCAAGCCGTTTTAAACGGGTTTCAATGAGTGTTCGAACGGGTGATTAAGTATTCCGAACGGGTAGCTTAGCCGTTCGAACGGCTCG